GGGGGGGAGGTGGCAGCAGGATGGAAAGTGACACTCAACTTTCTCTGCTTTCCCCCTGCAGAGAGACCCAACCACGCACACGAGAAGGTGCGGGATGAGGACCTGTCTCAGTGGGACACCTTGGTGGTCATGGCTGGGGATGGGCTGCTGTACGAGGTGAGGGGCACTGCGGGGCATCCCCCTGGCCAGGATGGGCAGAGAGCCAAGAGAAGGGGGGTGCTTGTGGCAGGAGCCACACTTTGAGACACGAAGGCAGGCAGGGAATGGCAAAGGAGAGCTGGGACCCGGCTCGGAGCAAAGCAGGGCAGCCATGGTCTCTGTCCTGTCCTGGCTGGGGCTCTGCTCCCCTGGGGCTGAGCAGGAGACACTGGGTTCCCTGCACAGCCCCAGGTGGCACCAGCTGCCTCCATCCCTGCAGGTGGTGAACGGGCTGATGGAGCGGCCGGACTGGGAGGACATGATGAAGAAGCCGCTGTGCATCCTGCCCGCGGGCTCCGGGAACGCCCTGGCTGCCTCCATCAACCACTACGCAGGGTGAGCTCTGGGGGGCACCTGCTGCCAGTGCCCACCAGCCAGTACAGGGAGCTGTTCTGGCACCAGGGTGGAGGGAAGAGAAAGGCTGCACATGGCTCCAGCCCTGGGGTGTTGGGGTGCCCACTTGGGTTCCTACCTCCCTGCAGGCTGATGCAGCACAGTCCCAGCAGGTCCCTATCAGCATCAGCTTCCATCCCTGCATCCCCCAGGTCCCTCCACACCCTTTGTCTACTCTGGGATTCAAGTCTTGCAAAGCTTTACCCTAAAGGGCCCAGCCCAGGGTACAGGTGATCCTGCTGCAGTGTTGGGGGGCTGGGGTTGCCTTGGCCCAGCAGCCTCAACTCAGCTGCCTCTTTCAGGAGCTGGTTTATCCTTCCCACCCCCAGCAAAACTCCTCCCAGCAGCTGTCCCTGCGGGTCACTGTCACCCAGCTGGGATGTGCCCCCAGCCATAACACAGGGGTGAGGGTTGCACATGGGTGGTGCTGGGACAGCAGGAGAGGCCTGGACCCGAGTCCAACCCAAACTCACCCTCTGCATCTCTCGCAGCAACGATCACGTCGTCAAGAAGAAACTGCTGATGAACTGCTCCTTCATCCTGTGCAAGAGGCTGCACACGCAGATGGACCTGGTCTCGCTGAGCACGGCCTCTGGCAGGCGCCTCTTCTCCTTCCTGGGCTTCGGCTGGGGCTTCATCTCGGACGTGGACATCGACAGCGAGAAGTACCGCGGGCTGGGCAGCGCCCGCTTCACCCTGGGCACCCTGCAGTGCCTGGCCAAGCTGCGGGTCTACCAGGGCCGCCTATCCTACCTGCCCGTGTGCCCCGAGCAGGGGAACCCCCCGTCATGCCACGA